AGTTTATGACCTTTCTTTTTAACTCTTGTAGTTTCTGACCTTCTTATAGTGCATTCATTTTTGGTATTGAAGATTTATGAATTCTCTCCCTTCCCCTTTTTTACCTAATTGCAATTTAAATGCTTCCAGTTTTTATATGATGCAATATATAGCTCTCTTTATGTATAACATAATAATTATACAATAATATTAATTATAAAATCATTTAAATCTAAAGAGTATGTACTATCTGCCAAGTTCTGATTTAGGAGCTTCAGACATATTTTCATTAATCTTCAGTCCTGCCTTACAGCAGAGATTTTGAACTTAGAAAATTTACTTTGTTATTTTCAGCAAGTATGTGTTCTTTTGGCTGGCCCCATCAGAATCCCCAGAAGTGTTTGTTGACAGATCCCTGAATCCCAATCTCAGAAACCCTACAGACAGTCAGCATTTTAACTTACTTCCAAAGTAAAACCTATAGGCCTTCAAGTTTGAGAACCCCTGGATGAGTATTGAGGTAGACTATATCTTAGAATACACTGAGAAGGGAATGATGCAATGTGCTGGTAGCACATTGTAGTCATTAATAGGTAGCTTTTTACTTATTCCAGTTGAAGTTAACTCTCTTTCTGAAAGCCATATTTTGCTTCTCCTGCCCCTGTAGTATTTGACATATGTGTTATCACCTACAAAAACAAACAATGTTCGTCTTGAAGTTTCTAGCCAGAAGATATTGGTCAGGGAGACTTTTGTTCTTTCACAGGCCACATTATGTCTTTAACATATTCCTTTGACTCTATGTCAAATTAATTTTGTAAGAAATAAGAGACTAGGCCGGGTGCAGTGACTCATATCTGTAATCCCAGCACTTTGGGAGGCTGAGGCAGGCGGATAGCCTGAGGTCAGGAGTTTGAGACCACCCTGACCAACATGGAGAAACCCAATCTCTACTAAAAGTACAAAATTAGACAGGCACGGTGGCTCATGCCTGCAATCCCAGCCACTCGGGAGGCAGAGGCAGGAGAATTGCTTGAACCTGGTGAACTGAGATCACGCCATTGCATTCCAGCCTAAGCAACAAGAGCGAAACTCTGGCTCAAAAAAAAAAAAAAAAGAAAAAGAAAAAAAAGAAATAAGAGACTAACTCATTTGGTCAGTGCATCTGGGGACAAAAGGTAAAGCAGGTATCTGAAAAAGTAAAGTATAAAAATATGCATCAAGCTTTTCCAAATTTTTTTACTTATTCAAATAAAAAAACCCAGTGTGACTCAAAAGTCAGACAAGTAAAATTTCATGGACCCATATCATCATAGTCAAATCGGGAAGTGAAGCAAGTGTCTAGATAAAGAATTGGCAAACTCTGACCCACAAGTCAAATCCTTCCGACTACCTATTTTCATGAATAAAGTTTTATTGAAACACAGTCATGCACATTATCTATGGATAGAATGAATGATAATATTTCTTGGTTGGACTCTCCAGAAAAGAAATTAATTCAGAATCCAAAGTCATGGGAAATGTTAAGCAATTGTTAACCTGTAACATGACCCCCAGAAATACTCCATGGGCCATAAAATATGCATTCACTTACTCTGCAGGGAGAAAGAAGACAGGCTTTTTAGGGAGAGACAATCATTTCAAAGTGGAGGACATGCTCACCAGGGTGTGAAGAAGACCGTTCATTGATGTGTGGAGAAAGATGTTATAATTTATGGTTTTACATTAATATGTAGAGAGAAGAAATTAAGCTTTACTAATATTTAATACACAGACTGGCAGTAGTCTCTGAACCCAACCCTGAAGAATTGGCTATAGAGTTCTCTCTTGCATGATTTCACCGTGTTAACACACACTGAAGTTTGCACATACCTTGTTAAATGGATTTAGGGATTTCATTACCAACTTCACAAAATAGACAAATATAAAAGATTCCTGCAAAATTGTCTAAGATTGAAGATAACTACTGCACTGCTTGATAATGAAAAAAAGTGGCAAAGTTGACAGTTCCCTCAATCCTATGGAACTAGTTCTTGAGCATCCAAAGAAGAGGTAAAAGATGAATTTAGACATTCAAATGAATTTTGAAATGATCAAGAGAATTATGAAATATGGATTTACTTCCTCTATCATTGTAGACTTCACCTTGGTTGAATACTGTGTCAACTTTAAATAAAAACTTTTGCATAATTGGAGGATTACATTAAAAAATAAATACCATGATTTAGTAGGCAAGTTAATGAGGTCCTTTTATTGAGATGGAATGTTGCCCTGTCGCCCAGGGTAGAGTACAGTGGTGCGATCTCAGCTCACTGCAACCTCTGCCTCCTGGGTTTAAGTGATTCTCCTGCCTCAGCCTCCTGAGTAGCTGGGATTACAGGTGCGTGCCACTGTACCTGGCTAATTTTTGTATTTTCAGTAGAGATAAGGTTTTCATCTTGGCCAGGCTGGTTTCAAACTCCTGACCTCGTGATCCACCTGTCTTAGTCTCCCAAAGTGCTGGGATTACAGGCGTTAGCCACTGCACCAGGCCAATGAGGTCCTTTTTTTTTTTTTTTTTTTTTTTTTTTTATCACATCCTTGTATCATTAGGAATTAAATTTTTTGTTGTGACTATCATTAAAATTAAGTCCAGAAATAATAAACATAATGTCAAACTGAATCACAAACGTTTAAAAACATGAGTAAGTATATTAAATCACATTGTTTACACATTTTAGTGGTCTTAATGATTTTTAAAAGTGAAAACAAAGATGTCTTTGTAAATTAATAAGATAGAAGTAAAACAAACCACTAAGTTATCTTGATTTCATCCTTTAAAAATGTCTATTTTGGAACAGAAAACCTTATATCACACATTCTCACTTATAAATGGGAGTTAAATGATACAAACTCATGAATACAAAGAAGGAAACAACAGACACCGGGGTTTACTTGAGTGTGGAGGGTGGGAGGAGCAGAAAAGATAATTATTGGATAGTGAGCTTAATACTTGGGTGATGAAATAATATGTACAACAAACACCCATGACCTGTGCTTATATATGTAACAAACCTTCACATGTACCCCCAAACCTGAAATAAAAATTAAAAAATTGTCTATTTTGTTTATTTTGTCTGTATTATATGCTAGTATAATAGTACATGCATATACTATCATATAATAGTACATACATGTATATACCATGTATAGTACATGTGTGTATACATATATATATACAAATTGAAAGCATATGCTTGAATTTTGTTTTAATCATAGGTGCATAGGTCAAACAATTTAGAAGCCACTGATTTAGACGATGATGTATGGATTCAACCTTCCTGCTGGGATATCTTGGATTTATTGCTGTCTGACCTTTCCTTTGAGTGAACTCCCCTTGACCTGCTGAAGGCCTGGGCAGAGTGACACAAATCACCACAACTTCTCTACATGCACCTCTGTACCAGTGCATATTTTATATTGCCACATGCTTGCTTGTATATTTACATTTTCAACATTCGTGTTGTTTATCCTTATTACTGGCTATTTAAATACTAAAGCTATTATTGATTAAACTTGCTTTGTTCAGTACCTTCCATAGCCAGCTAGCTAACACACACCCTTGCTACTCTCTGCTTTTGTTCTGGGGAAATCATTGTATGATTACAGATCTCACTGATTTTTATTGATTCTTACATATATAATGGGTGCATTTTGCAGATGCTGGGTATGTTTGGAGACGGCACAGTTTTCCTGGTGTAAAGGGAGTATTGATTTTAATGACACTGACTTTGTTTACATTATGTCAGAGCAGTAAGTGAATTCTTTTCAGAAAAAATTCTGTCCCAACAATGTAAATGTATTTGGTATTTACCTATTTTTATACCATGAGTTGTGCTAAACGTGGTGCCTCCTCTATGTCTTTTCTGGCCAAAAGAGATACATAATTTAACGTCTCAAAGGTCACATCCCTTCAAGATTTTTCCCGTCTGGGAACAAACATAGCCTCTAACAGTACCACTGGCATTGGCCAAAGCTCTCTTTAATTCTTCATTCCATCATAGGATTTCATCATTAGATCAAGTTCATATCTAATTCTAGTAGTTCTCTTTTTTTCTGTCAATTTTAGCATACTGCAGAAGTTCTGCCTTTTGTATTTGTCCATTGAGAAAACTTCAGAGGTTGATGTCTGCTACAAGACTGACCAGAAAGTCTGGTCTCTCACTAGCTTCCTCCTGCATTCAGGAAGCCAATCTCAAGTGCAAACCTCACAGCTTATTCAGAGTTTGGCAGATGTCAAAATGCCTCCATTCCCTCCCAGTCCAACCCTTATCCCCAGCAGCAATCTGGTGCCAGTTTTAATTAAAATTCATGAAAACAGACTGGTACTTCAGACATGGATGGAAACAATTTGTGGGGGAGGCAAAAAATAGCAGGGGTATACTTCTCATGTTTACTCTCTATCGTCCTGTTAGCATTTCATTTTTGAGTGAAACCAGTTTGAATTGCACATATGCTCATTTTGAATATTTTAGGGAGGAATTCACAATAACTGCCTCTGATGTGGACTGAGCTCTGTTCTCATGACTAAAGAAGTTTATTTCTTCTTTAAGACAAAGTTTAATTATAGCAGCTTCATGTTGAAAATTAATAGCTTGGGGGAATTTAGAATGAAAAAATAGAGAAAAATTAACTTTGATATGTACAAGACTTGGAACAGTTTTATAAATGAGAAATAATTAACTGGTATTGTAGTAAAGTGTTTTTGCATAAGGATGAAGAAGATGTGTGTCTTAAATGTGTATAACTAGTATAACATGTGTATGACACTCATACTAGCCAGTAAATCCCAGACAAGAAAAGCAGTTACACACCCACATTTTCTATTTATATTTCCTTTACCTAAACAGTCGTTTATTTATGCTTACAATGTGCCAGGCATGTATTGGGCCCTTTATACAAATCATCTTAGCAGTTCTTTTTTTTTTTTTTT